CTCAAGGTTTCTTTCTCGGGATTCTTTTCCGAAAACAGATTGTCAGATACACCCAGTTCAGTACCAAAACTCTTCGAACCGAACTAGTAAAAGCACAGTCGACTGCCGAAGCGTTGAAGAAGGAAATGGCCGATGTTGACATGCAAACAGAGTTTTCGAAGAATGCAAAGTTACAGAGGAGGTACAACAAGGAAGAGCAAATTATCAATAAATTAGGTATGTTCTACACGCATCAAAAGATCAAAGGACTTGCACAACTAAATGTAGCCTCCGTAATGCATATTGTCGTCAAATTTACTACACGAAATCAGTTTTTCGAGTAAAATCTTTTCGTCTAGGCGCTTGGCATGTATGCGATTGGAATGTAAGTATTGAGCATTCAGTTAATATATACTTATTGGAAGCAATGTACGATCTCAATTTAGAATGCCTTGCTGAAGCAATGTGCTGGGTTGTGAGTTCAGTAGACAAACCTCAAATTAAATACTTAAAGCTTGCATTTTTCAAGTGTAAATATACCGAAACATATCTATGTATACTTCGATTGGGTTGATGTCTATGACTATGTTATCTGCTTGGTATACCACAAAAGATTTAAAAGTTAATATTATTCCCGGGGTTCTCCTTTCTATCTTTCAGATGCACAACTTAAGTCGTCGCAGTCCATTTGGAGTATGAAAGTGAGCACCGCCAGGCGTATATTCTTGGTATGTTTTCTTGGCATAGGTATATTGTTTGAGGTTTCACTTCTTACTATATTACTAGATATATACGCATGTAGATTTTAATGCATCCGTACATCGGCATGTCATCTATCTTCACTATCTTGGATTGTTTTGGCCGTAGTAGAGTTCATACTGTTAGGCGTGAAATTAAAGATTAAGTTTATTCATCTTAAAAGACCGGCATCGCAACCTCAAATCTGCTGCATGCAATCGCAGGTACACGGCATCTTGAATCTATTTCAGTTATAACTTTAATATTACGCTTTAAAAAACGCACAAGTAGTAAAAAAGCAGACTAGAATGTTGTACGTCGCGATTTGTCGGTTGATTTCTCTTAAGCGCATTACGATTCCATGAGAATATTTTATTTGGCTTTTTCTATGTACGCATCGTATATTTGGAACAGAATCAGATCACAAACTCGAAATACGACGCTGAGAGGCGAATAATCAGATAGTTGCCTCCAACAAGTATCATCCATATACAAGTGCATAATATGGTCACCGTTATCATACGCGATGTATTACATCTTTCAAGGTTAGCTATTCGGGATTGAGTTCAAATTCTATGTTATACTTGCGACGACGTGTCTGGTTTTCCATTCTAGAGCATAATAGTAACATCTGATTGAATCAGACTGCTCATACCTACCTTACTCGGCTGTTTGGCATATTCCCATTAGGGTTTTCTGAATGCATTCCTGTTCTTTTACCTGAGATCGGTGCCTATATTTCAGCTGCCTACGTCGTTACTTTGGCCATTCGGATGGATATTAGCGCTCCCAATGCACAATACCGGTACGTCAGCCTTCTGTATCAATTCGAAGCTTGTTGGACAGTTCCCTTTAAAGTTTTGTAGACTGGGACCGAACGGGTTCTTATGCTCCCAATCCCATGTTCTGTTAACAGTATGTTAGTACAAGTAGCACTTGGCGATTATCATTTCGAACCAAAGTTCATTTCGTGGTCCTTTTTGTAGCTTGCACATTCTGCGAGTTCATTGGCGTCCAATCGCAGTATTTTTGCATATACCCACGGTTCATATTCGAATTTATACTCTTTTGTTCGTATTTTGCTTGTAGGCATCCTATCCAGTTTTATAAGTTTTGTTTCCACGGATTGCTGTGTGCCTAGTGGCATGTTCTCATTCACAATCGATTAGATTTCTCTGTAGCTCCACAATTAAAACTCATGTTAGGGCCTTAGCCACTTTTACGTTGTTGTTCTGCGTAAAATCGCAATACAATGAATAAAGACCCTAAAATAGGTCAGGTGTGGGGTGTGCAATTGTCATAATCATGTATAACTCCCCTTCGTACCCGTGAATATATTGTGTCTTTGGTATCCGCCGTGTATTTGTTCAGAAGTGTCGTCCGCCCGTCCTTGTGTCGGTGCAGAAGGTGGAGAGACAGAAACTATGTATCAAAACTTGCGCAGTTGAGTATCTTTTCTTTCGTGAATATACTGCTCTGCTGATACCCGAAGTGTAATTATGTAAACGCATATGCCGGAGTTATGGCGGTACAAAAGGTGAAAAGTCAGAAACCACGTGAACGTGCCTACGCGGTTATATAGCTTTTCTTTGTCACATTTATTCAAGTTGCAACACTCTTCGTGACATTCTCTTATATTGATCTAAACAATGCGATGTGATTGATCTGCAGGTGATATTGGGATTGTACCGTGGTTCTTCATGTGCCGGGCACTTGCAAAGCTACTTATTAGGGATGGCTGAGTATTGTGCGAATCACTATTGCTCTGTGAAGCTAGTAGTGTCGGGGCGAGACGAGTCGTGCACAATCGCTTATTAGTTCAATAGTGGTATCAGGAAGGAGAAAGTACAAGCAAGTATTTCATTAGTAGCATAGCATTGCCAGCAGAAGACATGACCCTTATGCCGTCCTACGTATGTAGAAGTTTTAGGGGGTTAGGATAGTCCAGGGCCGGTATCCGTCAAGTCATTGAGACAGCTCTGGCGTTGTCGAAGTTGATTGCTCGTGCTTTGATTGTGTGTCCACATATTAGGTCACATACAAGCGACGTAGCACACGCGCCAACCAACTTGGCTTTAGTCTATGTGGGGTAAACTATACGCATATAATCTCATTCTCTACTTATAAAGCTCTGTGCTTATGAACTGTGCAACCCCTGATGGTTAGACCATGCCCCAGGGTTAAAGATTTGTATCGTGGTGATAGTAGCAGAGTCCATGGTCTCTGTTCTATCACTTGCTTGACTTTTTGCTGAGCAATCGTGCCAATCGGCAGTATAAGCATTACGCAAACATACTTGTGTCCTTTTAGCTTGTAATCATCGGTGAAATATATCTTTACCCGACTTTTGACATGATTGCATGAACGCGTGAAATGCCTCTGCCCAAGTCCCTGTAGGCAGCCAGCGAAATCGCTAATAACACACGAAGATGGCTTAGTACTCTCATAATGTGGACACTGTTTCGGAAGTGATACGCTCCGGACACCACTATAAATGTGAGTTACCATATTGTTTTCTGTGCTTGATACAGGAATCCGTTATATTTGGCGAAATTATTCATCAAGCCCGTTGGATCTCTTGATGCACAAATATACGGATAAAAAAATGCACTTATCGAGACTTTAGACTTGAATGATCGATAAACGGAGTCTAACGGGGATTGGCAAAGGAATTGCGTGCGTAGATCAAATATTCGGCGTGCGAAATCGAATACTCATACAAATATATTTAGTTAATTCTTGCCTTGCTAGAATACGAATACCTCATAATGGGTTAGCATTTATGTAATACGGGCGAAATCTAGATAGTATCGAATCCCAATAATGGTGGTGCGCTACAATTGAGTTGTTAGAACTTTCCGACGTATAATTTGCATTAATATATATGGACATTGGAGTGTCTCATGTACGATCTATGATTTTTCGGCATGGACGCCAATAAATTTCATGAATACCAGTACTACTCGACACTCAATGAACAATTTACAGTGGAACTGCTAACACTCACATTCCTGTGCACTTGGCATCGATGTACTGTTTTTCCATCTACTGCTGTAAATCTGTTCGCCGTGAACATAGGAAATAAATAGATGAATAATTATTTTTAATTCCTTTCCTATTGAGCGCATGAAGCTTGGCCTTTTTTCCAGCATAATCAAGATTAGCGTGGAAGTATTGTATCTTGGTATGATCATATATTTATCTGTTCATTCTCGCGTATGCTTCAAATGATCAAGAAGGAGCAGTTTGATTGTATTCACGCATAGTTTTGAAGAAAGTCGCTCCTTGCGTATTCCCTCAAACCAATCTACTTCTCATATTTTTGATTCACAGCCATAAGTTTTGTTTGCTGACCTTCGTCAATCCTGAGCTCGGGGTGTCTGCCAGCAACAGTCCACTGTGCGCGAGCAGGTCCCCACGTGCGAATCACAGAACCAACACAAAGCGCAACAGCAAATCCAGTTACGGCGATGACTGGGAAAATCTCAGCAGGGCGGTGCTTCATGAAGGAGGTGAAGGCGTTACCAGACATATCGGATGACGTTTTATTGTAGATGTTATCAACTTTATGGTGTTGATTGTGAGATCGCGACGAACCTCGGTTTACATATATATATAGTAGTAGTAGACTTCAAATGTTGAGTGTGTGCAAACAAATTGTTTTTGAAGACTGGAGTCTGAACTCTGAAGGCCGCCTGAACTTCTGAAGGCAAATCCTTCTCAGAGTCAGCACTCAGCACTCAGCACTCAGCGCTGTCAGCAGTGTGTCAACAAACAAACAAACAAAAATGGGAGTACAACATACTTTATAAACTAAAAAGCAATAGGGAATTGTCAGTAAAGTACTCATTTAAGTTATGCTAAACATTATTATTGGTTAAAGAAACTGATGAACTCTGCATATATAAATCACTCAGAATTGAGAGCACAAAAGCAACGAAAACGACTTGTATTCAACAAAAAAGATAAAAAAACACTGAAACAGGGGAAAGTGAGAAGTGTAAATGTTTTTCAGGGTTGGTCTGTATTATTTGTTTTAAAAAAATAATCAAATAAAGGACGCCGAGTCGCCGAGTCGCACCGACTACAATTTTGGTAAATAAACCGTTTCTTAAAAAAAAACGATATCTCAAACATGTCATGATGTCGTATAATTTTTTAAGATAATGTCGGTCGCGACGTTGTGTCGGACTTGTCAGTCGTCACTCGTCAAGTTCGCTGGACTCCTGGAGGCTGCCTGTATATATTTATTACTGTATTAGGGCTTAGGCTTATTTATATATAATATAACCTGCTAAATTCATAGCCTTCTAAATTTTAAAACAAGAAGGCTATGCTAAATTGTTGTTTTAAATTGAACATAACACGTCATTCTCAGTCTCAGACCTCTCACTGGCTCTCAGTCTCACTCTCTGGTAAAAAAAGGCTGGCCGTTTGACGACAGATCGCGAGTTCACGACCGACTGGCGCCTTGTCGCACTTTATTTAGGCGACGTCGCCGACTTGTTTTAGTCTCACTGTGAGTCTGCGTATGTAAATATGCACTGTCTCTCTGAAAGACTCTACTCTCTCTACTGGTAGAGAGTACAGTTAAATGTAGCAGTATGTAGACGCTCTCACTAGTCTCTACATAGTCTCTGAGAGAGAGAGTCTCTCTCTCTCTCTCTCTCTCTCTCTCTAGAGAGTGACTGTATGTAGTGTAGAGACTAGAGAGTGAAGATTGAAATATAGAAAGAGTACATAGAGCAAAGTTGACCATTCGTGTCTGATTGTCTGGACTCTTGGTCTCTTGGGACTCGGAGAGTTGGAGTACATATGTAAAATTGTAAACTCTTCTTGTATAAGACTGAAGAGTGAAGAGTGAAGAGTGAAGAGTGAAGACTCTGAAGAGGTGAAGAGGCAGAGCCTGGGCTTTCATTTTTAGAAAAACATTGCTAAAATGCCACTGAAGGGCGGAAGCTCAGTGCATTGCCTTGACTCTCTCTCTCTCTCTTTGGTCCACATTCTCTCTTTCTTGTTTGTGCGTGCACAGTATACTGTGTAGCCATTAATGTGCACTGTGAACTGTGTAGCCATTAGTGTGCGCTGTATACTGTGTAGTCAGTAGTGTGCACTGTGCACTGCGTAGTCAGTAGTGTGCACTGCGTAGTCAGTAGTGTGCACTGCGTAGTCAGTAGTGTGCACTGTGTAGTCAGTAGTGTACACTGTGTACTGTGTAGTCAGAAGTGTGCACTGTATTTAGTGTGTACTGTGTATTCATTAGTGTGCACTGTGGACGGTGTAGTCAGTAGTGTGCACTGTGGACGGTGTAGTCAGTAGTGTGCACTGTGTACTTTATAGTCAGTAGTGTATACTGTATAGTCAGTGGTGTGTACTGTATGTGTAGTTAGTAGTGTGTACTGTATACTGTGTAGTCAGTAGTGTGAACTGTATATATATATATATATATATGCGTACATACATACATACTGACATAC